AAGCCGTTGCAGGATCCTATTGGAAACCAGCCCAGAGACCCAACGTGGCTCCTCCTGCACATGCCGGAGCTGCTTTTCACAATCGAGTAAACGTAAATCCCATGACTGATATTTTTCCCGTGAGAAAAGAAGACACGGGGATTGACGGCGGAGGTGTTCCGCGGCGAAAGATGGGGTCTTGATCAGAGTTCTCCACTGTCTGCTCACACACTGGAATCGGGTCAGGGATTTCACCGGAATTCGACTGAGAATGTCTGTGATTATGTCCTCCGGAAGGGATGGTGTGCCGGCGTCCACTGTCATGAGCTTTACGGCCGGGATTCGGAGATCGTGAATTGAGATCTTCCGGAGAGAGCCTTCCAATCAAAGAGACTGACGAAAAATATCAGTTTGGGTCCGAAAATAGGAGTACCAAAATTGATGCGGGTGGAAGGAATTAATTCCCGTTCACGAGAGAGAAAAAGCATTTCAGTTCAGTGCTGTCACGTGAAAAAAGATTTTAAAGGTACTGCTTGTACCGTAAAGTTTAAAAAAAATTAAATCAATTAATGGTACTGCCTGTACCGTTAATAAAAAAAAATAATTTTTTATCCAAAACCACCCCTTCCCCTCAATTCGGTACTAGCAGCAGTGCACCTTCTTCTTAAACGGCCCGTCCATTTATTGTACTTCTTAGATGACCATCCATTTATCATACTTTAATTTTTTTTTATTGTATTAATTTGGATGATAAAAACTTTTTATTCTTCTATTAGTTTGGATGATAACATCTTTATTATTGTATTAAATTTGGGTAGATATTAAATTGTATAATTTTCAATATAACACCATTCAATTCACCCAACTAAAAAAATGTCTACATTACACTACAAACAAGCTTACACCATTCAATTCACCCAACTAAAAATAATCTCACATTACACTACAAACAATCCTACATCATTCAATTCACCCAACTAAAAAAATCTTACATTGCACTACAAAAAATCCTGCACCATACAATTCACCCAACTAAAAAAATATTTCACAATACTCTATAAACAATCCTACACCATTCAATCCATCCAACTAAAAAAAACTCACATTACACTACAAATAATTCTGCACCATACAATTCACCCAACAAAAAAATATCTCACATTACACTACAAACAATCCTACACCATTCAATTCACCCAACTAAAAAAATTTCACATTACACTACAAACAATCCTGCACCATACAATCCACTCAACTTAAAAAATATCTCACAATACACTACAAACAATTCTACACCATTCAATCCACCCAACTAAAAAAATCTCACATTACACTACAAACAATCCTGCATCATACAATTCACCCAACAAAAAAAATATCTCACGTTACACTACAAACAATCCTACACCATTCAATCCACCCAACTAAAAAAATATCCCATCTATATATTTTTTGCTTAACTCTCACAATCTCTCCACCGAGCTTTACTCTCACATATCTACTCACTTCTCTCACAACCTCTTACCAAAAATGGCCTCTGATGGTAGTTTTGTCTTGCTAGCCAATTGGAACGGTGAGATAATGATCAAGAACAATGAGGTGGAGTACTCATTGCATTCAAACAAGGCCTTTGTTTTTGATCTTGATATCTCATTTGAGGAGGTCTTCAATGAACTCCTTGATGCTATTGGTGAAGATAATCTCAATTCCATCAAAAACATTTGGGGAAAATATCCCAAATACAAGGATGGAGTTTATGATGCTTCACGCCCTTTCCCCATTTCCGAGGAACAAACATGGAGGTGTTTCGTTCAAAAGGCAACGAAGGAATATGATGAACTTGAGGTTTATCAGTGTGCATCATTTCTGCTAGGCACGGTGGCATTGATGTAGCTTTCAATACTATCTCCCAATTATTGGAACAGCGTGTCACCAGGAGATATTGCTTCCGCCACTTGAGAAGTAATTTTCAGAAGAAGTTCAATAGCAAAAAACTGAAGGGCTTGATGTATCATGCAGCTAGTACCCCAGATGTCTCTGAATTCAATAGAACAATGCAACAAATTAAGTCACAACGGGAGGAGGCATATGACTGGTTGTTGGCTTTGCCATTAGAGAAGTGGGCACTCTGTTCCGATGGTGGGGCTCGATATGGAATCCTGACCACTAATCTTTCAGAAAGCTATAATCACGTGCTTAAGGGATGCTGATCTCTTCCGGTATATGCCATTGTGAAGACGACGTACGAGCGATTAGTAAAATTATTTGCAGAAAGGCGTACAAACGGACTTACATGGCTACAAGCGGGATTTAAGTTCCCAAAATATATTTGGAACGAGGTGAGACGCATGGAAGACCATCGTTTACATTGCCATGTTATCCCACATCATCCGCAACAAGGGATTTATCGGGTCGTTGTTGAGGGTAACGCTGGAGCTACCGGTAGATTAGATGAGATTGTCGTGCATGTGGGCCAAAAATTGTGCACTTGCGGGAAATGGGCCACATTGCACATGCCATGTGTGCATGTCTATGCCGTATGTCGTTATTGCAACATTACTGTTGATAATCTCATCCCACGAGTGTTTTCACTTCAGAATTATCTTGATGCATATTCTGGAAGTGTTATGCCACTACAAAACGAAATTGAATGGCCTACCCTTGGTTATGAATTAGTCCATCCATTTACAGGGCAAAAGTCACAGGCCGGTCGGCCAGTGAGTACTCGTTTCACAAATAATATGGATATGCGAGCACGAAAACATCGTCGGGGAACTTAGTTAAATTATAAATTTCAATGTGGGATTTTTATATATGTACGACAACTTTTATTTGTATGCTTTTTATTTCAATAATAGTGCATCAAATTAATAAAAATGTTATTATTGTTCAAATTTAATGCCAATATCTAACAAAGGGATGTATTTAATTTCATAATTATAAATAACTAATAGATTAACGGTACTGGCTGTACCGTTAATCTAAAAAAAATAAAATTACGGTACTAGCAGTCCCGTTAATGCTTAAATATGACCACTCTGCGCAATGTCAGACTCCCCTTCACCATTTGGGAATGGTTTTTCAAAAATTACACTGATTGGGAATTCTCCCGGGTGGAAGTGGAACTGGGTCGTGCCCTAATTAAGGTTTTCACTGTTTGTAAAAAAAAAAAACAAACCGAACGGTTACTACTTGGTTTCTGTCTTGGATTCATTTCGGAAAACCAACTCAACTGAAATAAAAACCACATAAAATCGAATAATCAATGGTTTATATATATTTTTATGTGAAATCGAATACTCCCTTCGTCCGAAAATATTCTTCCCATTTGATTTTTCTTGGTCAAAGTTTGTAAACTTTGACTATGATATGTGGAAAAAATACATTGTATTACGATATAAATTTAATATGAATATATTTATTTTGAAATATAGTTTTCAAATATCAAATTTTTGTAAAATATATCCATGTATAAATAAAGATATTAGTGGTCAAAGTGCAATCTTGGAGACCGTAAAAAGTCAAATGTATAATAAATAAATAAATAACATAATAAGTAATGATAAAAATAATAAAAAAGAAGTAATTATAAAAAAATTAAAATTTTAAAATTAAAACAAAAATAATAATAAAATAAATATAAAATAATAATAAAAATTAAAAATTAAAAAAATTAATTGTTAAATAAAAAATAAGATTCAATAAAAACAATTATAACTATAAATCATTCTTAAATAACAAATAAGATTTAATAATAATAAATAATCCTAATAATAAAGTAAATAAATAAATAATTAAAACTCATAGTAATAAATAATAATTAAAGTATTAATAATCTTTAAAAATATAAATTTATAATAAATTATAAATTAAATAAAATAATAAAAATTAGAAAAAATTAAAAAATAATAATATAAAATTAAAATTTTAAAAAAATAAAAATTACTAGTAATAAAAAATAGATAAAAAAATAAATTTAAAAAAATGAAAAGTATAAAATATAAAAGAAATAAAAACAAAATCTTTCCTTCCCCTCCCAACCAAACCAGGTAAAGGAAATCTTTCTCATCTCTTCCCATTTTCATCCATCCATTCCTTCCCCTCCCCTCCTTTCCAACCAAAGAGAGCCTTAATCTTCTCGTTTTTTTCCATGTCTAAATTTTACGGAGTATTTATCATTTCTCATATACAGGTACTGTGTTCATTTTTTATTCCAAAAAAAGTATTCTTTTAGTAAGCGTTTTTTGGAAAAATTAATCCCAATAAACAATATTTAAAAATCTTCTTTAAAAATGAGAAAAAAATTATAACTGAAAGATTAAATCCAGACAAATAGATGAAATCCTAATAAAAACTCTGCAACAAAAACTATTCCACTGCATCCACTGTTATAAGGTGTTTGTGTGCGCAATTTTTCATGTAATGGGATTATTTGAACAATATAATCTAAAACCACTGCACCTCAGAGCTTCCCAACTTTAGTTTTTTGGTCTCTAAAAAAAACATTGGAAACCACACACTCCCACACACTCCAAACTGCTTCAAGTTGATAACCTTGTACAAAACCAATCATAATACACTAAACCAACTGTGCCTAAACAAAGAAATCCCAAACAATCCACACCCACACAACTAACTTATTACTTATACTCCAATCCTTAATACAAGTGCCAATTAACTGTTTCAGAAATATAAAGAGAGCTAATCAAGTAAGGAGTACTTATATGTATTACTTAAAAAACAAATTCAAATTAAAGATAATTCAAGTGAATTAAAACTCAAGACCAGTGAATTAATACTCAAAATCATGTCTTTGCACTCATAATTCCAAGTAGCTACTAAATGATTCAACAATGCAAATATAGGGCCGTATGTACATAATCAAGAGAATAGGAAAAAGTGATTCTTGTTAATTAAAACATGGAGCTGTTGGATGAACTTTGATAAATTAAAGATAGGTGATGTGTGGAAAACAATGTAGTTCTAGCTAGATCAATTTCAACACATCTTCCATCTTTACCCCAAACAACTCCCCTATATTTATTTAGCCAAAATCACTTTTTCCCCTCTTGTCTTAGACAAACCGGCCCCTAAACTACAATGCTATAACTAAAATTTCGAGATAAGGGATCGTTACCATTGGCATCACTACACAAGTTCATTAGGAGATAAGAGTGAGGTTTGGTTCATTGCTCTCGTATGTTAACGGGTTCTCTGAACCCTACATAAATATCACAGACAACTTATTTCCCCAACTGGCACAAGGCTTTCCACATAATCGATACACTTGTCACAGTCATGCATAACAAACGCATCAAATTCACCAGTCGTGACGTTGAAGAGAGTAATTCTTGGTTTCACTACCTGCCATCCTTCATACACTTTGCAGACGATTCCATTCTTCCAAATCGTCAAAGGATCTACCTTGCGAGGAAGGGTGGTGTTATATTTCTTAGTCCAAGTCCATCTCTCACCAAGTGATGAGCTTGCTACATTCCCCTCCTCTCTCACCCACAAATCAATGGATTTTGAGTTTTCAGACAACCTATGTTCAATAAACAAAGCAAGTTTGTTCTCATAAACCACAAGCCTTCTCCACCAAACAGGGTCTGCAATGACAGGCACTGGAATCAATGTAAACAATTCCAATGAAACTATGATATCTCCATCATCCTTCCTCCCAAGCCAAAAAATCGATCCTTTTGCGGTCACACTTGGTCTTGTCCACTCCGGATAAAGACGAATGCCCTCTAAGATCTCACATTCGACTACTTTCCATGAGCCCGAGGTTAGTGAATACACTTGCGCATAACAGGGAAAATCATCACACCAAAGAATCACTACCTTGTAATCATTAATAATGGGACCGAATCCGAATCCTACATTCGAGTGACCCTTATAAGGACCAATAACTTTGGGAGCCATCCGGAGCTCCCCTATGGCTGGATTCCACACACAAAAAGCGGTCCGGGAGATTTTCAAACAGATCAAGCCGTTGACGGAAGGCATGATCCTATGAGAATCCAGGCCAGAGACCAAATGTGGATCCCGCACCTTTCTGAGCGTCATTTTACAATCGAGTAAACATAGTTCCCCTTGGAAAAGAAGACAAGGGGATTGACGGCAGAGGTTTTCCGCGACGAAAGATGGGGTCTTGATCAGAGTTCTCCACTGCTTGCTCACACACTGGAATTGGATTAGGGATTTCGCCGGAATTCGACTGAGAATGTTTCTGATTATGTCTTCCGGAAGGGATTGTGTATCGGCGTCCACTGTCACGAGCTTCATGGTCGGACGGCACCTTAGGTTTAGATGAGAAATCCAATCACTCCTAATCATATCCTATCAAATCTAAACAAAATTATTACTCCATCTGTCCTAAAATTAACTTTCTTTTTTATTTTTCACGATCTCCAATGCGACACTTTGACCATCAATATCTCAATTTTTATATAAATATATTTTATAAAAATTATATATTTCAAAACTATGTTTTAAAATAAATCTATTGCTAACAAATTTATATGAAAATTTAATGTATTTTTTCCGTAATATACGGTCAAAGTTTAAAAAGTTTGACTACAAAAATCAAAATGAGAAGTTAATTTTAGGACGGAGGGAGTATTATTATTATTATTATTACTGTTACTATTATTACCACTACTATTAGTATTATTATTACTATTATTTACTATTACCATCGTTGTTATTATTATTACTCTCTCCGTCCCACAAAAAAGTTCCCATTTTGATGTATTTTTGGTCAAATAGTTACACGTTTTGACCATAAACTAAATATAATCTAAATAAAGAAATGATAAAAAAAATTTGAAATTTTCTCTAAAATTTAAATTTAATTGTAGATTATTTTTCCAAAATTGTACTCAATAACTATGTGTTTTTTCAAATTAATCTCCAAAATGGATTAATCATCAAAATGATACTTGTTAATTATAAATAATGCTCAATTTAGTCCCTAAATAATTCGTGGATCATTTCAAAAAACAATCATGTCACCACTCGTTTTATAAAACTTTTTATGTATACTTCTAATATATTTTTTAAAAATTCTAGACTAATTTTCTATTATAATTTTTTTTTAAAATAACTTCAACCAAACATTATAAACCAAAAAAAGAGTCCTATTTCAAATCTGGGAGAGATAATATGTAACTATTTATTAAATATTTTATTTACATGATGTTCTTCAAATATTATAAATAATTTGAACATTTACTTTCAAATATATCAAAATATATATGTAGTTTTATTTATTTTATTCTTATCATATTGATGGAAACCGCTTTTTCGGGGCGCCGACCCGATGAAATCGGTACCGGGTCGGCACCGCACCGAATAGCGAAATCCGGAAATTAAATAAATAAATAAAGCGGAGAGAAAGTATTTATACGTGGAAACCCAAATCGGGAGAAAACCACGGGCCTTTTCAGGCGGTGCCATGCCAAAGGGGAGGAACTTTTATTAATCTCGGGGGAATTTACATATACATCACTGTAGGAGCTTGGAGCCATTAATGGAGCTCCATGCTAAGAGAAGGAGAAGAATGAAGAATAATAGTAGAACTAGTAGAAAATTGGCTTCCCTCTTCCCTCCTTCGTAGCATGCATTTAAAGAGGAGAAGGAAATAATTGATGGAGACAAGAGGAGACATTGTCCATGTGAAGCCAATGTGCAGCATGTGGTTCCCATGTGATAGTGTTCCACGGGTCCCGCCAAATGTCTCCACATCACTTCAAATATATTCTTATGTCCATATATCTCTGGTTCTGTCTTGAATAATTAACTTGATTTATATCTTGGGCCAGATAAAATTGGGCTTTCTTGTACCGTTCAAATAATATTGGATTAAGAAAAATCCCTAATCCATCACATGCCCCCCTAGTTTTGAGTCTGTCTCGGGGAACGAGACAGATTCAGAACTATATGACTTAGTGGGTTGCCTCATGGGATAAAACTTTTCTTGGAACCTCGACAAGAGGACCTTCTTTTTTTGGAGGGTCTCGTTACCTCGTGGGTAAGGATTTAACTTAGTGTCTCTCGAAAGAGAACTTTTCTCGGGGATTTGGTGCCTCTTGGAGAGGACTTTTCTCAGAGATTTGTGACTCTTTAGAAGAGGACGTTCTCAGGACTTTGTGCCTCTTTGGAAGAGGACTTTCTCGGGACCTTCTGCCTCTTTAGAAGAAGACTTTCTCGGGACTTTGTGCCTCTTTAGAAGAGGACCTTCTTGGGACTTTGTGTCTCTTTGGAAGAGGACTTTCTCGGGACTTTGTGCCTCTTTAGAAGAGTACCTTCTCGGGACTTTGTGCCTCTTTGGAAGAGGAC